ATCAAAGTAAGCTCACGATTTGGTGAGTGCTTGGGGTTTGTTTTTAAAAAATAAAAATTCTCGACTTTTTACCACCCTGTAACTAGGTCATGACATGATTGTGGTATCAACCCCTGACCATGAAAGACTAGATCAAGAGTAACAAATTTGAAAGTAACCACGTAATAGTATTGGAATCTCTGCTCTTTTTGGTTTTCTGTTTGTTTATTCGCATTTTTATTTTGACTTTGCAATTAACAAAATCTTAAGACTTTTATACCTACAAGTTATAATTGTGTTTTGCCCAAAATATAGTTAAAATTAATATTAGATCTAAATGAGATATTTTCTCGATTATTTTGGCGGATGCACCTATGAACTCATGATTTATTTTCATTCACAACCCAGTGATACCGTCTCCACTAATAAATTAGTGTTGTCAACAGTTATGTTCCTATTGATGGAAAGCTTTTTGCGTGGGGTACCATCTCTATCTCGGGTTCTTTGTCTTACTTTGATTACCCTGTCAAACACGTCAACCTTCGCCCTTGTCGCAATCTTCTTGACTTCTCTCCTTGCTGGCTTATATAACATTATTCACCCTGATCCGAGAGTCTGCTGTAGGTCGAGACCTGTCGAGACCAATCAAATCTGTTTTGAAGCAGTGTGGAACGGGAAGCAGGAAGTGGAAGTATGAGAGGTGCTGACAAACTGATTTACCTTTAACCCATTTTTCTTGGACAACCTGTGAAGACGCGCTGTGTTAGTAAACTTTGAACAAGAGGTATAACTTCTTTATTAATAATAAAAGTTTTTCAATTCTGTTTTTTTATATCAGAAAGTTAAAAAGCCTGGCGACACAGACTTATCAGATACTGTGAAGTATTAAAAAATCTATGTTTCTAATTTAAAATTGTGTATGATGGTTCAAATGTACCGCAACGTTGCTTTTGGTCTGTTGCTGATCAGACGTGTGTGGCCACTTCGCCTTCAAAGAGTTTACAATCCACTAATGGGGATATCGGGCGACATCCACTTAGGGATCAAATTTTTAGTTTTCAAATGATGCCATTTTCTTCAATGAAAACATGTCTCTTTTTTTCTTATCTCTTTTTTGTAAGTGTTTTACGGCGCTCGCAACTGCAAAAATTCATGTCTGTTATCCTTTCATCATTATAAATCGTACAATCTCAACGTATACATTTGACACATCTTTGTCAATCAGACTAAAATCCGAGAAGTCCGGAATTTTGTCAGAAAATCTCACATTTAAACAGTCGGGCATGGATAACTGAAACCTGTCAGGGATTGACTAATCGCTGCCTGAAAATTACCAAGTTCCGACGGGCATTTTTGGCAGTTTTGAGTTACTAAGACATTGGAGTCAGAAACCAAATTATGTTCTTTCTTCTGTATCAAAACCGTAAGATTACTCGGAATCGTTATCAAGATATTCCAAGAATTGCATTCGAAAAAGCTTGACATCTTGTAAAGCTCAAACTTTTTGCCGCCAGATTTCTCAAAAACTAGCTACTGAGCAGATGGAGCTTCGTAATTCAAGATTAGCGAGAGGTGTTCGATACATCCTCAATTCAGGTAAACCGATAACAAAAAAGAAGAGATATCAGTCGGGAAAAGGCAAATTGTGCGAGCTATCTATAATTTCGAGTTTCCCGTGTTCCTCTTATCAGTACCCGGCTGTACTCGCTGCTTGTAGACTGTTGTCGTTTTACTGGGAATCTTTAGTTGGGGTTGAGCGCTATACAATGTTATATACTATTCTTTTTCTTTTTCTTCTTCTTCTTCTTCTTCTTCTTCTTCTTCTTCTTCTTCTTCTTCTTCTT